ATTAGATACATATGTGATAAAAATTTCAGCTCTATAGATCAACAAAAAGTGTAAAAAATATCAAAAACAATTTATCATCAGTTATTATGGGACACCCTTTATGTAGTATTGTTTTTTCTTAGGTTGCTTGCCAAGTTCTATTCAATATATGACAAAAAAAAATAAAAAATAAATGCTGCTGAAAGTTTGAAATGTGAGATAGACTCTGTCAGATGCAAAATTTTCGGATCCCGACCCTGTTGAATCATACTTGAATACTCTCAATGAAATTTTCTAATTGGGATTGAATAGTTGCCGTGAAAATACGAGATACCTGTTTTCGACTTCTTGGATATGGTAACTGGCACACCCTACATATTTCTCAAACGACTAGAGCTCATCAAGTGCAAACATTTCAGATTCGAACAGATTCGGGACCAAGCTAACGGGCTCTAGTGTAGGCACGTGACATAAACTATAAGTACCTTGAAATTCAAATATCTCGACCTGTACTTGCTATGAACAGCTCATGTTTTAAAAGAGTAATTTTGACAATGAGAGTATTCATTCGATAGACATATAATGAATCGTTTTAATTTACAGTACATGATCTTCCATTGTCAACATAGAAGTAACCTACGAAAAATTTTTTCTATGTTTATTGAAATATTGAAGAGTAATGTTATTTCTTTGAAAGTTTTAGAGGAATAAATATTTTCTTATTTGAAATAAACTACTTAATTTCTACTAGAAGAGACAGATCTTCCGTTAAAATTCTGTTAGTGTATGATTAAACACTTTATGCGACATGAAAAAAAATTAAGCCTACATATAAAAATATTTGATGAAATGAGAACTTTGTTTTTGTTTTGTTTTTTTTCAGTTGTAGTAAGCAAACATAATTTAAAACTTTAAAGAATGAATTCATCAGATGTAAACGTGTGACCTTTAACAAAATATATGCAACATTATTGTTTTGTTTTCTTTAGTTTGATTAAACGAAAAGAAAAACTACGCCCTATTTCATATTTTCGAAAACAATATCTAAATATTCATTAACTAACAAGATATTATAAAAAATATTTTTTCAATTACATTGTTAATTAAGTTTTTTTTTGAATAAATAATATTCATTAGTCATGGTGCATATTTTTTTGTGATATCAAATCAAGTTTTTATTGATTACAGGAGGAAGATTGATGTAGGAAAAAAAAAGGTTATATATTTTTGGAAGTATCAATGTCAATGTATCAATCTATCTATTAGGTTACATATCTCTATATTCTTCCACACTGTGCTATTGCTCTATTTTCTTTATGCTATTCTTGTACAACAAGTTATTCGGTCGATTTTTTTCTGTGCTTGTTATCAGGAAAAGCTTTCCTTTTTCTCTCAATTGCGTCGTTCTATTATCATAGGGGATTTATCAGTCTGTACATTTTCTAGTAGAACTAGTAATATTTCTTTTACTTTCTGACGAGTAACAAACATCCCTATACACAAATAAATCAACAAACTCATCATTATTACTAACCTTTCAAGCAAAAAAAAATGGCATCGGTTAATTCTATTGAAGATGAAGCAGAACTTCAAAAAATGGTTCTTTGTTTTTTTTTTTATTTAATAATTTGACTTTTAATTTTTTTCTAAAATGTAATTTTTTTCTTGTTTTTCATACAGCTAAATGCAGCAAAAGATCCTGACGAACGTAAAATTATTCGTACACGATTATTAGAAGTAAAAAAAACCAATAGTGGTATGCATTATCTTTTTTGTTTTTTTGATCTTGGAAATATTTTTTTTTCTTCAATATAAATTATAGAAAAAAGGGAAAAAGAACGAGTTCAACGTGAACAACGTCGAGATGAAGATATCAAACGACGTAATCAAGCTCAAATTGAAGAAAATGTTCAACGTATAAAAGAATTTGAAGAATCAGCAAAAAGCTTTGGTACTAAACTTGAAACAAATGCTGATAGATTAAAAGAACAAGCACTTAAGGATAAACAAGCTTATATTGAAAAGGATAAAAAAAAGTAAGAAATTTTCTGGTCTTTTTTTGTGCTTTAGATTAAATAGAAACTTCTTCTTCTCATAGTGAATTGGCGCGTATTGAAGTAGCAGCTAAACAACATATATCAGCAAATATTGGTGAAGATCGTATTGAAGCATTGACAAAAGTATATTTTCCTGAATATATGTTTTGTTTTATTTTATAAATAATTATGTTTTAGCAACGTCAACAATGGGCTGTTCAAGACAGAAACGTTGAAGATAAAAATCTCAAAGATTTAGCAAAGTTTACAAAAAATACAATGTGTAAGTTTGTTTTATAAACTAAAGATGAAACTAAATTGTTTTTTTTTTATAATTTTTAGCTAAAGAATAAACAAGGATATAATAATCTCAAATATATGTATACATGAAAAAGAAAACTTTTTGAATAAATACAAATAGAAAAAAGCTAAAATAATAAAAAATCAAACATGATATTATCTTATTAAATGAGTTATTAGGCAATGTATCATCCAAAGTCATTATTATTTGATATTACTGACTATATAATTTCCATATTCAATTTATTATCGATTATACATGCATGTATTGTGATATATATATTTAAAGTTGAATTTTTCATCGACAGCAATATTGTTCGATTTAGTGTAGGTGATACAATAACTTGATTATAGGGTCATATTATGAGATAATAAGTCGATATAGTAACGGTAGTATTGGTTACTACAGACATACTTGTGATGGGATAGATTATTGCTAATATTCTTGGATTCACTGATGCACCCATTACTATACATTGATACGATATCTTCTCGTTTCACTGAAACCTCTTAATTAGTCCGGTTCATTGACAGAAATTTGTCTTTTCTCGTCTTACCATCAGTAGGAGGGTCAAAAAAAGCTTTCGATTAGCGGTTGTGGGTGTGGGTGTGGGTGTGAGTATAAATATTATACTTCTCCACCCTTATAAGCACTTGGATTGGCGGACTGTTACCACCGACTTAATGCGCATATCTCCACCTCCATTCCAAACTTATATCTAATGATTGATGAATTAAAAAAAGATTATGCATTTAACACTGCTATGATAAAATAACTTGACAACAAGATGAACAAGTCTTGATAAAATAGATAATTTATTTTTTGGAATCAATGAATTCTTGATTTAATGGAACAATACAAAAAAAAAATTTTTTTGCCATCAGATGAATATTGTAATAAAACTTTTTTCTTAATACACTGTTGAATAAAAAATGTTGATGAAACAGGACCAAACCTGGTTAACAGGTCAGATCAAGTGAAAATTGTTGGCCTAGCTCTTATATTTTGGAAACCAAATTTTGATGCATTACGTTATTAATTCAGAATACTTTCACAAGTTCATTAGATTCCAACAAGAAATGCTTGAATCGAACGTCAACTTAATGTTGTAGGACTTACGATGACTGACAGAATAACTTGTTCACATCCAAAACAGTTGGATAGTAAATTTTGCGTAGATGCTATTATGACAATTGATTGCCAAATGTTAATGTTCTTGTCAGTTATTATGATTATCATTTATTGCCTATATTTTCATTGTAAACTTTCTTTAGTTCTGTCTCGTTTCGTCAACTAATATTTTTTTTTCTCATTGTGTCAACAAGTTAAAGCACAAATAATAGACAACTTCAAAAAAAACACTACTTGCTTGTTAAAACTTAACCTAGAAATGCAAGTACTAGCAATATTTTGGTTTGTTTTCAAACAATAACATTAGATAAGAAGTTGTGGGTGCTAATCTCCTCTCAACCCACACCCATATACGCATTCTTATTAGTTTGGATCATTACTTATACAATACTAGTGGTGGTTTCCCTATGCGATGTTCTATTATCTTCTAAATAAAAACTCATTATATGCTTCATTAATTGCGTCTTAACTTGCCGACTCAAAGCTTATTTACGAGATTGCGGTCTGTCAAAGGAAGAAGAAGTTGTTGACAAAACAGGAAAAATATTTGTTGACGAAACAGGATGATACCCTTTCAGATTATCTGCTTTAATAGATACAGTATATAATTCAAAATGATGAGAACTTCTTGGTAGAGATGGAGCTCAATGTAATAAATTAAAATTCATAATTTAATTATTAATCTAGACATATATTTATTGATCTTCATAGGAAAATTAGGCATTCTTTTTTTACTTACTTTGGTTTGGGTGCATTTTTTTGTACAATGTTAGCTGTATTTATGGGATTATCACCATAAGATCATCCACGTTATTATTCAAAATTATCATGTATTTTTACTCATTCAATTCCTCTTTCGCTTGGTTTGTATTATTGATAAGAATAAATTTTAAATAAATTATTTGTTTTGAAATTAATTTTAGGTTTAGGTTTTTGATCGCAATTAAATATAGAAAAAAATCTTATTTTAATTGATAAACATGCTTCAAGAGATCAAGTAGATCCTTATTTTAAAAGTCTTAATTAATATCTTGGAGTTTTGTAAGAAAAAATTTATTTAATGAAAAAAATAAATGTTCTTTTTTTTCTATGATTAGATTACTGGAAACAAGATAATGATGGATTTAGTTAAATAAAGAAATTCAAAATTTCTATAATCCAGATGATTGTAGTTGATTTTATTCCAAAGCCAGGTTATTTATCACAAGATGAAGATGCATTTAAATCTGCTCGATGTCGATCTAGTTCTAATACTATAGCTGTTCATTGTTATGAAGAAGTAATTTATTATTTCTTGTATATGAAGAAAAAAAAATCTTGGTTGTTTGTTTTCTCTTATTTAGTATCCAGCTGATGTTGATTAGAGATCGAAACGAAATGAGTTTTGCTGGATCAAGTTCAGTTCGGTTCGGTTCGGTGTTTTCTTCGGTGTCTGATGTAAAATAATCGATCAAATTCGATTTAATAAGGACATACTGTATCATAAATTTACACACAAGCTTATAGGACAATTAATCGTTTGTCTCTTGTGCTTATCTACATTCATTCGCTTTTCAAAAATTAGGTTGGGTTCGGTTCAGTTCCACAATATTTTTAAAAAGATGGTTCGAATTCGGTTCGGTTCGATTTCGGTCTCTGATTCGTGTTGCATCTCTTATAAAAGTGTGCGTAACTCTTTCTAAAGAATCATTATCCCCATGAAGATAAACACTATTTAGTAAAGACATTTTAGTATTGACTAAAAATTGTTCGACATAATTTTCATGAGTTCGAACAAGATCAAGCTGAGTAAGATGAGGATATTCTATGATTGACCGTTGTTGATTGTTGTTCTTCTGGGGTTCTCGATTATGTAAAATTAATTTTTCCATCAATGGAAAATATTGAGCAATTTGAAGAAAAAAATCATAGTCAAAAGGACGTTCATCAAATAAGTATACTTCACGAACATATTTAAATAATCCACGAGGAAAATTATTCATTATATCATTATAATATGTCAATGCATATGGATATGAATAAATATGACAATGAAATTCATCTGCTTTTGAAAAATAATCAACACATGAAATAATTGGATCACTTTGGAAAGTTCTAAATGTATTTTGAATATATTCATTTGATGGTAAATTAACTTGGTTATTAAAGGGAGCAATTGAACAAATATTAAATGTGAATTTCTTTAATCTTGTCACACGATTGATAATATTCTTTTCTACAAAGACTCCATCAATAATGGGCCCATGATGATTGAGAAAATACAGACTGAGTTGTTCTAAATTTGACATTCTATTTAAAGGTGGAGCAAGAAATGTATTGTAGGCCAATATCATCCAACTCTGGGTAAGCGAAAAGCGTTTTAAATTGGCCAGTTTCTTCTAGAAAACGAAAGAACGGACAGTTAATATTCGTAAAAGTATGCTTAATTCATGCTAAGAAAAAATATTTTAATGAGTAACTTACTTTATTATTGATTATTGGCAACATAAGAATCGAAGAAGAGATGACAACATAGAACGTATGAAGTTGACTGAAACGACCATCGAGTAAATAAAGACATTCATTGCAAGAGTCTACTACGACATGCAATTCTAATAGAGTTGAAAAGAAAACAAGCGGAGATGATATATTAAATGTTAATCATTGATAACCAGAAGATGAACCGAAGTTTAAATGTTGTAAATTACTGAACATAGCAAAGATCTATGTAAATATAAATATATTTATATCTTTAACTGAACATCTTGGTTCTTTACATTTATTAATATCAATAACAAGTGATAAGATTTAGTTTTTGAAGACACGAATAAAAAAACGTCGATCTAAATAAACATTACGAATTTCTATTAAATTACTTATTAGTTAACTTAAAATACTCTATTCTTTTTTCCTTATTAATAAGTCAGCTTTATATGATCATCATTTAAATTCTTTAATAGATTATACTGTATCGTCAATGATGTTTTTTTTTATCCTAATCATTCATTTATACTAAATACTTTCTAATTTGAATATCAAAGAATTTAAATTCAAGATATTATACAAAAATAATATGCGTACTTTCTTACACATGATGTCTTTATTTTGAATTTTCTGAAGAATTCATTTGCATCGATAAATATTAGTAGCAAAACTATTTTATGAAAAATATCCGTTATAATCAAATTCTGATTATATAAAGTATCTATTCAAATAAATTATTTTTATATTTTTCTTGACTACAAATCATTGAAAGAATTGAAGAACATATCTTACCAGTAAAGAGATCTCTTGCTGTTTCTGATGTAAGTGAATATAAACCAAGCCCATGCAAATTAGGATAATTTGTTGAAAGAAGAGTACGCTTCATAGATGACGATTCAATATTGAGCCATTCGATTTTACCATGAACTTTAGGAAAAATTTCAAGACAAAATCGATCAAGTATTGTATCAGTATAGTGATATGATAAATCATTAGAGAATGGAGGCATCAATGTTAACGATTTTGTAAAAATTGAATCACTCACAATTGTATTGAGTCGTTTATTTATATCTATTAAAGAATAGAGTACTGCTGTACTGTGCAATTTTCTCAGAATAAACATAAGAAATTTCATCAGGTAAATCATTCAATTAAATTAATGAATATTCCATGTTTGTGTTCACATATCTCTTGTTGGTCTTGCTTATCAATATAGATGTACTCATGTCTTCTATTTGACCGATACCGGCAATGAAAACACTGGTATATTTTTGTATAACCTAAATTGACAATGAATGAATGGATAGCCGATTTAATAACGTTATTTTTGTTCTCTCTTTTTATTCGGTATGTATCGAAATGGCGAAGTAAAAAGTAACGAAACAAAAAATAGCGAAAAGTAAATTTCGAAACCAAAAATGGCGAAGAAAACAATGTCGAAAACAATTATGGAGAAAAAATTGTCGATCGTACAAAAGTTGAGAAGAAACATATTCTCCTGAGAAATGTTGATTATGTTCGAGATATCAGTATGTAACACATAAGAGTGTGGATAGGAGTGATACTGCGAGATTTTCGGTGAAGCCAAAGTGCACATGAGAACAGTGTTTCTAATGGAGATCTAGAAGAAAATGTACAATACACGCTGTTTTATATGAAAAAAGTGTATTTTACAGTTACTTTTCAAAATCAAAAAGTGTCAAAGTATACAAAAAACAATTATCATAGAATTTGAGGAGCTGGGAAAGAAAACAACATTCATATCGTCTGAATCAACATGAATGCTACTGTTATCTGGTAGATCACGATTTGCATGTAGTTTAGACATAATTTTTCAACTAAAAAGTATTTTTCATGATATTGGACGCGGTGTAGTTTTTTCTTGTACAATGTAGGCTGCACACTCTATTTTTAAAACTAAGTGCACATAAGCATGCATTTCCATAGCTGTAGATATTTGTATACTTTGCCTTCACAATGTAGATTTGCCATTAAAAACACTAAATGATAAACTTCAGATGATAACCGATATATTACCATTATCAGCGTTACCCAAAAGAAAGGTGTCTAAATAATGCAAAAATTTGTCATCACCGTAAGTTTCTTGAGCGTTCATCTGCTTCACCGCTCTTAGTAATGATGCTTGACAGTGCATTCCCAGGTATAATGGTATGAATGTGGAGTATCTTGATCTATACTCACAACTCAGACACCCTATCTTGTTTGCAAAGAATAAAATGAAAGATAAAATTCATTTGTATGAAAGTTTTGTTTATCAAGTTTTTGTTGACAATTGTTAATTTTTGTTTCAAAATCTTTTCTTTCATTAATATATTTATTAAGCATAATAATATCCGTTTTAATTTGTTCACATTGTTCTAATGGTCAACAAATTTGGTCATTTAATTCTTGTTCTAAATCATTTTGTTTATTTTTTAATTGAACTATTTCGTTATCAAGTTGTTTCATAGAATTTTTTAATGTTGAAATATCGTTTTCTTCAAGATCTTGTAATTGACTATGAATTGGTTTAAGATTAAGACATTTTTCAAATTTTTCTTGTATTATAATGTTAAATCGCGATCAACTTTATTTCGATATTCAGGTTCTTTGACTTGTGATTCGATGTCACGAATTAATTGTTCACTTTCAGATTGTTTTTCAAATTTTTGATAACATCATGAACAACATCCATGATAAGAAAACAAATATGAAAAGGAAAAAAAAATTTCTTCTTTGATTTTATTTACGAATCTGTTGTTAATGTTAATCGAACTTGTTTAACAAATTTTTTATAAGTTTTTTCCATACCAACAATACTTTCTTTTTCATCTTGTTTTTGTTTAACATCCTTAGATAGTTTTCTAAATATTTTTCATAGATTTGTCCATTAAGAGAGGGTCCGCGAGAGCACCTACCAAGCCGGTACCACTCAAAATTTAGATTTTCGATTTGCTATTCTGAAACGATGAGCTATGATTAGAAACTTATAAATCCAAAATATGAGCTCTTTATACTTCTCCTGTAAAAAGTTTTGAATTACACAATGTGACATCTCGTTTGATCCTCGGTCAAAAACCGGATTTTTAGGATGTTCTCGGTATTTTAAATTTTTCTCTGCAATCACTCGTCCGTTTGAGCCTGGAGACATCTCAAAAGATGCAGAAATGTTTTCTCTACAAAACTGGTTAACTGGATCATTTTTACAAGGTACTTTAATAATACATAGTTTCAATATACAAGCAAAAAGTACGATTCGGTTGTGCAGCAATTTTTTTAATATTTTGCATATTATTATACTTTGACTCGCTGTCCCAAAATAATTTTTATATTTTCTAAAAGCCCTTGATATTCTACATCTTTTGAGCCATTACTCAAATGTTTCCAATTCTGGTAGCGAAAGTTAGTGAATACCACAAGTGCTAGCAGACCATGATCATTTTCTCTTATTTTTTTAATTTTTTGCCTCTTGCACCTTTTATATTCACTCTAACCAAAAACATCGACTTGAGAATCGTGATCAGCGTAAAAAAGATCAGATATGAAGTTTTATGAGTCAGTTCACATAAGTCACAACCGACTGTTACGAAGACTGTTCAATCGAGGTCATCCGACTTTACTCAATTTAATATGTACTTTGGAAGCTATAGTTCTAAGAATTTTGACGCAACCCGTTTGAAAAAATATTGTTCCGTTGTTGAGATATTTAAACTTTTCTGAGAGCACTATCGTGAAAAAGGGCCATTTTTGATGATTTTTTGTGATATCAATATCTCATCAAGGGTATTTACAATTGACTTGAAATTTTTACTGTGAGTAGGCATCATGGTTCTGTATCACTACAAAAAAAATCAGCTTAAACAGACATACTATTCATGAATTGCCCAATACCACCAGGCAGATGACGGAATGACATTTTTCAGTATTTTGTGCACTTACATATCTCATGAATGGATCATGTCAGAGGGTTGAAACCTGGGCTATAAAAACACTCCATTGAGTACTTAGTTTCCTAAAAAATTCAGGTCTCCCAGAATGTGAATTGCCTAGAAGCTGGACACGTGTAGGCTTATAGTACTCACTGAGTACTATAATGTTATCGAAACATAGACCTGGGATGTCCAAGAATGGCATCAGGCAACTTATTGAAAAATTCCAAAAATGGCCCTTTTCCATAGGAAACAAACCTGAGATCAATTAGAAATTTCTCGTAGAGCGGCATCATACCAGATAAATTATACCTAGCGCAAATCAGCATTCGATCCTCTATTACCCTCTATAAAAATATCCTTTGAAAATAAAAAAAAAAGATTTTTCGAAAAATTTCCCTAGCCCCCTCCAGCCCTCTTCAGATACAACCATTCTGAGAAGATCCCCGTACCTCCCCCTAGGGGATTTTTCGAAATTTTTTTTTTCCATTTTCAAAGAATATTTTTATGGACGGTGATAGAGAATTGTATGCTGATTTGCATGATGTATAACTTATCTCGTATGATGCAACCCTTCGAGAAATTTCGAAGTGATGTCAGGTCCGTTTCCTATAGAAAAGGGGTCATTTTTCGGTACTTTTCAAGATGTCCCTTGAGGCCATTTCTATAGATCCCAGGCCAATTTTTTCGTAATGTTGTAGTACTCAATGAGCACTTTAAATCCATATGAGTGCGACTTCTGAAGAATCCTTTTTTTTAGAGATTCGAAACTTCCAAAGTCGTGATTATGGTCAAAATGGTGATTATGTAGAAAGTCTCCTGGGCAATAGGAGCTATGTAGAGAGCTGAGTATTTCGCTGGACCAAGTACTCAGTAAGATCTATCTATAGCCAAAATTTAAACTCTCTAAGGTAGTCTCATTATGAGGTAGGTATATACACAAAATACCAAAAAATGAATATTTTCCCATGTATCTGGTGATATTGGGCAATCCATGAATGGTACGTCTATTTAAGCTGATTTGTTTTTGCAGTGATACAGAACCATGATGCCTACTCACAGTAAAAATCTCAAATGGATCACATATGTACTTGAGGAGATATTGATGTCACAAAAAGTCACCCAAAATGGGCTTTTTTGATGACAGTGCCCTCAGAAAAATCTAAATATCTCAACAACAGAACAACATTTTTTCAAACGGGTTGTGTCAAAATTCTTAGAACTCTTACCTTTATAACATATATTAAGTTGAACAAAATCGAACGACCTTGATTGAGCAGTCCCTATGGCAGTCGGTCGTGACTTACATGGACTGGCTCATAATACTTAGTGTTTCGTCAAGCAAGTGACCTGCAATAAATTTTGAAGAGTTCTTAAAAATAGTCCACTTCACGTAGTTTTTTATGCTAATTATGAATCTGAGGTCAATTTTCTTATTCGAATAAGTACATAATGTATGAAAATCAATTATGTGGATGAAATTAATCAAAATGATCATCAAATATCAACATTTAAGGTATTGGCTAACGTTCGCTACCAGAATTGGAAACATTTGAGTAATGGCTCAAAAGATGTAGAATGTCAAGGGCTTTCAGAAAATATAAAAAATATTTTGGGACAGCGAGTCAAAGTATAATAATATGCAAAATATTAAAAAAATTGCTGCACAACCGAATCGTACTTTTTGCTTGTATATTGAAACTATGTATTATTAAAGTACCTTGTAAAAATGATTCAGTTAACCATTTTTGTAGAGAAAACATTTCTGTATCTTTTGAGATATCTCCAGACTCAAACGGACGAGTGATTCCAGAGAAAAATTTAAAATACCGAGAACATCCTAAAAATCCGGTTTTTGACCGAGGATCAAACGAGATGTCACATTGTGTAATTCAAAACTATTTACAGGAGAAGTATAAAGAGCTCATATTTTGGATTTATAAGTTTCTAATCATAGCCCATCGTTTCAGAATAGCAAATCGAAAATCTAAATTTTGAGTGGTACCGGCTTGGTAGGTTCTCTCGCGGACCCTCTCTTAACAGATACTATTTTGAACTGTCACTTTTGACTTCAATATCAAAATGTATCCATTTTCGATTTTTCAAAAATACGAGTACCCGAGATGATGAAAAGCTTTTGAGCCCATATGATGATTAGACACTTTTGAGGTCATATTTTTCCTTTTGTTACACGACCACTCTACTACAACGACCTCCAAAAGGTTCATGCTTTTATGCAGTTTTGGCTGAGATATAAAATTTTTAGTGGGTTATGTCCATGATGACCCCCATGTTCAAAAGACAATTATAGTTTCGAATTTTGACCTGAAACTTTGCCCAAAGCGAAGTCTCACTCAGACTAGCTTCCGTGCAAAATTTGAGAACTTTTGGATCTAGTATTTTTGAGATATGCATTTTTCAAATTTTGCAAAAGTTACATGGACAAATTCCTAAATTTTGAAAAATTCCTATCTCAGAAAAACTACATCGAAAACATCTGAAATTTTATACAGAAGCTAGTCTGAGTGAGCCCTCGATTTGGTCAATGTTTCAGGTCGGAATAAGTATCTCGGGAAATTTCCTTCGAAAATGTTAGTTTAGAAATCGAAAGTGGATACACTTGGATATTGAAGTCAAAAGTGACAGTTCAAAATAGTATCCGTTAACGGTTTTGTTATTAAAATAAAACTTAAAAGAATATACTATCATTTTATTAAAAAAAAGATTACATCGCTTGAATTGTGTAAGAGATATTTACGAAAACTTTTGTCCGGGACTTTTGGAACACCCTGTATATTTTGTTGCAACAAATATATGTTCAAATTTTGTTTTTAATTGTTTTCCTTTTCTTAATGACCTTAAAAACCATATTTAAAGAAAAAAAAGAACATCTATAGATAAGATTAAAAAAATCTTCTAACGAATCAATTTGATTCTTCTTGATGACAAAAAATAACATTTTCAACAATAACTGTCGATACACCAAATGCTGTGACTATTTCTTTATCAAGTTCAATACATTTTGATGTTATCTGTATTGGTGGTTCACCATTAATACCTTCATGAATAATAATACATTCAAGAGTTCTTAAACTAATATTTGTTTTCTATGAAAGAAGATACGCTTTTGTATTTAATATCAATCATTTTATCTTTTACCTTTTGTGTAGCAACAAGTGTACGTTGAACTTGTACATTATATCCTGTAACATCTTGAAATAAAAGTCGAATTTGTCCACGTACTTCTGTATCATGAGCTAGTTTTGGATTATGTACAAATGCTTCACCTGTTTTAGCACCTGATGGCATTATACCTGTTGCCATATAGTTTAAACATTCAATAATTGTTGTTTTACCCGATCCATTTGGACTGACAATAACTGTTAACGGAGAAAAAGATGTTATGACTTGAGTATCTTAATCTCGATTTCCAAAGCTATATATGCCTTGAATAGACATTTTATGTAGACGAGAAATGATTTAATCTATTTGAAAGAAACAAAAAACAAAAAGAGTGACTTATTATTATCAAAAAGTTGACAAAAAAAAAGAAGATCCGAATATTTCTTGAAATGACATATTCATTTAGAGAAGAAGAGGACGCTAGTAGTCGTTTTTATTCTCTTCGACCTATGTCCGTTCGTTCATTAACCATCCACCCACACACATGAATTATATTCTCCAGTGATTTCTTTTTTCTTGTTGTTCGATGTTTTATTTAATCTTGATATCATTTTAGATAGAAATTCATTTATTGTTTCTCTGTTTTTTTTTCTCAATCAAAAAAAAAAGAAACACAAAATGATGTCAATACCATTTATGGATCAATCAGTTACATCAATAACATCTTCATTAACACATTTTGATTCAACATCTTGTCGTCAATCGTATTCTCCTGTATCAACATCATCATCGTTACCTGTATGGAAATCTTATTTATATAATTTACAAATGCAAGCACCAAAACCAAATCCAATTGTATGTCGAACTTCACAATCACGTCGTCCAAAACAATATGGTTTGGAATTTCATGGTCTTTTATCACGTACAGAAGCTGATCAAATAATGTCAACAGCTATTGGTGGTTCATATCTTGTACGTGAATCATTAAATCCACCAAATTCATATACGTTAGTAATAAAATTTAATAGTGAAATAAAAAATTATAAATTATTTTTTGATTCTCAAACATCAACACATTATGTTGGTGAAAAACATTTTGATACATTAAATGATCTTGTACATGATGGTTTAATATCATTTTATTTGGAATCAAAAGCAAGTGATTATATTGCATTAATGGCATGTGATTCACAATGTTATACTAATGAAAGTCCCTATGGACAATACAAACAACAATTATTACATCGTGTACAAACACAAAATAATAATTCGAATCAAAATGAAAATAAAGTATAGATTTTTTTTAAAAAGAGTTCAGCCGGTTTTAGTGACCTATTTTGAATCAGAATACTAATGAATTGATATAATAACTCGTTTATAAATGGGAAAAACAAATTTTTGGCTTTCAGACCTATGGAGAGCGGTGCGAGAATAGGGTTGTAGGAAGGAGATATGTTATTTTTATTATTGCTTTTTTCAAGTTGTTATTCCTAGTAGCCAGGTTTGATTTTTCCATGAAACTCTGATAGAGTACATAATTATCTCACATTGATTTCAAAAATAAATTTTTCCATATCTCCGCATCCATCACCAGGAGTCTGGAGACCAAAAGCCTTTTTTTCCGTTTATAAACGAACTATTCATGTCAGTTCATCGAAAATGCTATGCTGATTATATGTTATATAAAAAGTTTTAATACGAATTCTTCATATAGGAGAATAGGCTATTCTAGGAGACAATCTTGCAAGTTGGCAATGCGTTCATATTGCTCAAAAGAAACGTTATGTGAAACATATAGAGCTCGATAATGTACAATTTTTAAGAATGTTTCACATTGGTATTCACTTACTCAGTGGTGCAGAGATAAACATACTACAATATCATATAGTCAAAACGTAACATTGAGTGTAAAGTATGAACAAAGTAATGATGAAAACTATTAGTCATAGAAAATTGAAAAACACTTATAACTGTATGGAATTAAGTTTAAAAGTAAAATTTGTATAAGTTCAAGCTAGGAACTAATGTCTATGAGTACCATGTATTTATTTCTCCAAGATTATAACCCGCGTATGAACTCACAGTACATCAAAATTTGAGGAAAACTTGATTTCATATGTACCATTCGATGTATCACAAATTGTTATACAAAACCACATATATGGTATTCTAAGTAGTTCAAAATAGGTCCCTAAATCGGGCTAAGTCTTTATATTTATTTCGATTTGTTTTCAAGGATACAACAACAACAAATCGTTCAATAACACAATCACAAATTGATCAAACTACACTTGATTATCTTTTACCATCATCTCGTAATTCATCCGTTGTGTCACAACGTTCATCATTAATAAATAATAATTCAGTAACAACAACAACAACAAATCTTCAACAAAAACTTCCATCATCAAATCCATTATTTTTTGATCGTATACTTATAATGCAAGCAGAAAAAGCACATAATTTTAAAATGCATTCATTTAAAGGACCACACTGGTGTGATTATTGTGCCAATTTTCTTTGGGGTCTTGTACAACAAGGTGTTAAATGTGCTGATTGCGGTTTCGAAGCACATAAACGTTGTTCGGAAAAAGTTCCACAAGATTGTGTATGGATAAATTCTTCAAATAAGAGAATCTTTTCAATTGATTAGTCACTCTCTTATCGAAAATTACGGGGTTTTTAAGTTATGAATCATACCGATTACGAATATGACTATGAGAAATTCCTTTAACCTTTCATATTTTAGCTTTTCTAGACTAACAATTTTTTTGGATCTGTTAATATTATAGAGCTTATCGAAGTGTCTAGTAAATAGGAAATTTTTCTGTTACAAATCGATTTTCTTGCAGAAAATACAGTCATTTTAATTTGTACGACAGATCCATATTAACATTTTAATGTGAAAATCTCTCACATGACATTCTTTTACCTAAAGTTTATGCTAGAAAAACAGAAAAAGTTATCGACTTGTAGACAACTCGATATGCTCTATAATCTGAGTGTATCTAAACAAAATATAAACGAAATGATTGTTACTAGTAAAAATCGGTTTTCTAGAAAACCGCTATATAAAGATGTTAAAGAGCTTTCTCATGATTGTATTCTGCTTCATATCCAATGAGTTCGAATGAATCGTATATCAATGCCTAAGGTTAGCTGTATTTAACCGCTAGCATATGAGCAAAATTAGAGGTTTCAAATACATAATATTCAATAGATTTTACAGTACTACTAGTCAAAACTCTAAGCTCAACGTATTTTCTATTTTTTTCTACGATATAAAGTACTGAATTCAAATCCAAATAGTGGTTTGAGTAGCTAATGAAGTTCTCTACCAAATCCATTCCATACTGAAATTTCTTAGATGGATTATGAGAGAATGGTTGTTAGAAAACTAAATACAGTAGTTTTCAAGACCTAGAAGACTGTTAAGATTACTATTTTGAAAAGCATAAAACTCTACGTAAAATGAATGATTGTACCATTTTCTACGAATTTTCCTTAAAAAGTTATAATCATTGCAAAAAAACAAAACAAAATGCGATTTTTTAGTGATTCGATGATAAATTTTGCTGTTGTTTCATATCTTGTAATGCTTATTACTTTTTAACGTATAATCATAGGAAATATAGCAACTCTTTAAGATGATGTCCTTGACAGGCTTCTGGGGCCTGAAAACTACCATGTTTGGTTTTCTAGAAACGTTTCTCTCAAAGTTCATCTATAAAATTTCTATTCTATTTTTCTTATTATTCTTCTCAAATTAATGTACGAACGAATATCAATGATAAAATTGATTCTGTATTATGTTCAGAATAGTACTTTTCATCTAAAGTACGAGAAAATGCTTCGTGACCTAATTCGGCTATCAAAATAAAAAATAAATCTATGAATCTTTCATAGTGATTAAAGTCTCTTACATACAATAGTCCGTCCGATATGAAATATTTAATAAGAACTAATCGATTTAGTTATTTCTTTTCATTTATTTTTAGGTACCACAAATGAAATATTTAAAATCCATATTTGGTGTTGATTTAACAACTTTAATTAAAGCAACAACACCAGCATCATCAGTTGTATCATTAATACCAATTGTACTTGAAAAATGTACAAATGAAATTGAATCACGTCCATATGCACTTGATACAGAAGGTATCTATCGTATTGCTGGATTTTCTGATACAGTTGAAGAAATTAAATTAGCATTTGAACGTGATTGTGATCATGTCGATCTATCTCAAGAACGATATCCTGATATTCATGCAATAGCTTGTGTATTAAAATTATATTTAAGACAATTACCTATTCCACTTATTACATTTGATATTCATACACAATTACTTGAACTTCGTCCATCGTCATTATGTGTAAAAACAATTCGTCCAATAATTCGTCGTTTACCACCAGCTCATTTTCATACATTAAAATATTTATGTGAACATTTACTTAAAATATCTCAACATTCAATGCGTAATCAAATGACAATTGAAAATTTATCAATTGTATTTGCACCAACAATAATGCGTTCAGAAAATCCTGATCCAATGATTGGATTAAAAAATTCTAAATCTATTCAACGTTTACTTGAAATTATTATTGAACAAGCACATGATATATTTTCTCCTTAAAGACGATTAAAAAGAAGAATGTTATTTCTTGTGTGTTTTCATTATAAAAATAAATCAATGACATGTACATAGATAATACCAAAACATTTGTTAATAATAGTTTGCAGTAATATATGAGATAAAATGAATACAAAGATAATAATCTATTATTAAAGATGTCAATGATGCATATATTTTTTCCTCTAATTTTACCTTTGAGATAGTGTCTTGCACGGGTACGACTCTTCACAATCGAATGCACATCAGAGCTAATCGAAATCTGGCAGATACATTCACAGTAAAATTTTTCAACTTCTATTTTGTAAAGCTCCCGACACATTAGAAGACCTGGGGTCTTCTATTTTGTCTTGTCATTCAATAGTTACAAGGGGGGGGGGGGTCTTCTAATATGTCCCTTAAAAAAAAGCTATTTTTTGGCAGTGCCGCCAACAAATTTTGGTTTCAGCCAATTTTGCCTGATGCATCGTTAGTAAACAAATTTCTTTTATTTATTCCTTATGCGTAGAATGAGAAAGAAACATATTATCCTGTGGGAAAGGACGAGTTCATAGTTAGTAAGTCTTCTTA